TGGGGTAATATGGTATGCTAGAACTCTTTTTAAACAATTATTTTAAAAAATCCATTCTCACTTCTTTTCGTTCAAATACGTCATGAAATCAAATCAATTTTATTCTTATCAGTGTTGAAATTTCCCGTTTTCCTTGCTAACTCTTAAATTGTTTGTCTCTTCTCTTTTCAATTTTCTTTTTTTTTTCAATTTCAAAAGACCTCATTTTCATTTTATCAATTCAAGAATTATCAGAAAACTGGGCACTAAAAACTTTTAGTTATTATTTTCTGAAATATCAATCTTTCTTCTTACATAAATCAAAATCGGAAAACTGAAACTTCAAAATGCATGATTTCTGATTTAAAAATTTACCTGTGATTCTCAAAAACTGTCTCAAAGTATCTAATTTTGAACTTTTTTTGAATAAGTTGTGCACAAAAATTGCTAATCACTGAATTTCTTATCACTCCCTTCCCCCACTTTTTGGTTACAAAGTTCTCTTTCTACTTTCTACGTTTAACATTGATATTATCAGTTTCGCTCTTTTTCATATATATTTTTTCTCAATTTTCAGCTTTTCCAGTAAACATTTTTTTTCAGATGACTGAAAAAGAATTCACTGTGAAACATATATTCACTGATGTTGAGAAATTCAAGCAATATCAATATCTCTATAGTCCACAAGAAGAACATTTTGGTATCGGATGGTAGGTCTTATTGCTCATTTTTTAAATTATATTTGTATGTCAATTCAATTGCAGGATAATAAGTATTGAAAAAGAGAACGAACACCTCGGAATTTTTTTACACACAAATGTGACAGGAAATCAAGAAATTCACACTAATTATACCCTGAGAATATTCTCGAAAAACCGGGAAAAAAATCATTCAAGGTCTTTGAGTAGGGTGTTTGAGAGACGCTGCATTTATGGTTGCCTCTATTTTATTGAATGGAGAACTTTGGAAGTGAATATCTGGATGATGGAAAATTGGAAGTGGAAGTTCATGTGAAAATAAACAAAATGGTTGGATTTCCGGAAGAAACAAATGAATTTCCCAGAAAAGATTTAAGAAGTTTCGGAGAGGATATGAAACAATTCTCCGATGTCACATTGAAAGTAAAAAAGCGGAAATTCTATATTTCGAAGTTGGTGAGTCATTTTTTCAGTTTTTGATTTTCATCTATTCAACTTTTTCAGTACCTCTCCTCTCATTCTCCATATTTTGCAACTTTATTTTTGGGAAGATTTCAAGAATCTGAAAAATCAGAAATCGAATTGAAAGATGTCAATCCTCAAGACTTCCAATACTATCTTGAAGTTCTACATCTAGAAAATGGAATTGATGGTGGGTTACTGTACTTACCGTATATTTTGAAAAGAGCAATTTCAGATGATACTGTCCAAGGAATTTTATCAGTGGCTGATATGTTCGACACTCCTAAAATTGTCAAAAAATGCGAGGAATTTTTGCTTGAAAAATCAAAAAAGGGACTGAAAAGAAAGCTGGAGTTGGCTGGAAATTATAGAATGGAGGGACTGAAAGTGAGTTTTAGACGAATAATTTAAAAGTGAGCAGTTTATTGACTTTTTTCAGAAACAATGCCTGGATAAAATCAAGTCAAAAGCGGATATTCGTTCAGTTATTCCAGCGGATCCCAGTGAAATGGACAAAGAAATCCTTGCAGAGCTACTCAAAAAATCTTTAGATTCCAATTGAATTATTATTCTTTGTTCGCAATTCATTAATTCTTTTTAACAACAAAAATGTAATTTCTGTATTAATTCAAATTCTGATAATGCTGAAATGAATCTGATAATTTACAAAAATTTGTTTTGAATATTTAAAGAACAACAGAATGAATCGTTTTTTTATCATCTATTTCATGTTATAACAACTAACACTTAGCAATAAGAAACTCGTCTTTTTCATCTCTTTCTATGACTAATACACAAAAATATACTTCGAATTTTAGAATTAGCAATGAAAAGAGTAGAATATTATTCCTCATCTCTATTTCGTTCATTAAAACCAGTTTCTTCTTGCTAAGTGTCCATTTTCATTTTAAAAAGATTATGTATCTTTTATTTATACAAGTTTTTCTTTTTCCTTTAAATAAAAAAAAGAAAGATCTAGATCATCTAGCAAGTCGCATATTTTACGACAAGTTGCGTATTTTTTTTTAATTTTTTGTTTTTTCTCGCTCTTTTTCAGCAAATCACGGGAAGGATTCGGCGGTTTTTATGCTAGTTGAAATTTTTTTTTTGTTGAAATAATTAGTTCTTTTTCAGAAAAAATGCACTGATAAACAGGGATACATGCGAGTGGTTTTTGTTCATCATGCGACCGGCGCAAAAGCCGTCAAATTTTTGAAGTGTGAATCTTGCTCGAGCATTATAGGAGATAACGGTGGCCATTTGCAGTAGGCAAAAACATTTTTTATATTAATTATGATGAAACTATAGGCGCCACCAGAAAAAACACAGTACATCTGGAAATTCTACGTCCCGTATCGTTTTGAATGCTTCAAAACTGGATGTCGGACAGTTTGAAAGATGTGGCTGTGTTTGTCGTTAGCTTAATGGATGAATTTCATCGATTTTCGGTAGCTGGAGAGAAAGAGGTTCTTGTCAAATTCGCGAAACAAGCAACGAGAAAAATGTGCACAGATCTCGATACCATTCATTTTGTAGCCACCTATTTGAATCCTCCGTCTAAAGATTTACATGAGTTACAATTGAGATACGATCGGCATCAGGTACTAAAGAAAACGACGAACATTGTAACATGAACTAGTGTGTAAATTTCAGATTCCGATTGATATCGTGAACGATGCTCAGAAGCTTCTGGACGATTTGGGAAAAAGTTTTGAGGAAATGAGATATCAGGCGCCACCACAAAGCCAACCACCTGCACGTCATCTCACTTTCCTTCAACGTACTCTGGGCGGATCAAGCGCCCCAAAAAGCAGTTCGCTTCATCAAGAACAGCAGCAATACGAGAGAGACACCAGAAGTATGCCTGCATCGAAATTTTGGCCTCTGGCAAAAAGCTCCTATCCAATTTTGCACGAAATCGCCCAAAAAGTTCATGCGATTCAAGCTTCGGAAGCAGATGTAGAAAGATCTTTTTCAATCATAAAAAACTTGTACACACCAAATCGTCAGAGTCTGGACTTAAAAATGCTGGAAAAGTTGATGATTCTCAAAGAAAAAGATCGATTCGACACAGGCGAGACTTGAAGATTTTGATGCATGAACACAAGCTTTTTTTGTTAATTTTCTTGAATTTGTTGTCATTTTCTCTCCCCTGTTATCTCAGTGTTGAATAAAAGATTTCTTGACTTCCTCCTTTTTTTAAATGCTCTAAATATCGAAAAATCGAGAAAACTCTCAAAAAATGCGTGATTTGCTGAAAAAGAGCGAGAAAAAACAAAAAATTTAAAAAAATACGCAACTTGTCGTACAATATGCGACTTGCTTACCGTAGTCATATTTGCGAGGCCGGCCTCGGCCGGCCTCGGAATTTAAACGTTTTTAAAAAAACACATTTCTATGTCAATATTATGTTTTCCTGTATAGAATATGCATTCTATTTTTAATAATATCATCGTTAATCTTTAAATGTTCACAATTTGTGTTGAAAAATTACAGGGTGGCTGAAAAGTATTGAGACACTTGTTATGATGGCTCTTGGCACCGTGCCAAGTCGTATTTTCGAAAAGTTTCGTATTATTTCGAAAATAGGGAGCGTATATAAGCCGACATTAGAGCCATTTCCCATCACTTTATCTCTTCACGAAGTTATGCGAGCTTCTCCTCATCGCCAAACCATTGCCAAGCTGTTCAACGACGGCATCTCCACCGGTGACATCGCTCGAAGACTTCTTCTTCCGAGAGCAACTGTCTATCGAGTTGTGCAACAATTGAAAGATCGAGGACATGTGTTGGAGCTTAAGAAAAGCGGAAGACCTCGTACTGTCAACACTCGCCGGACTCGTGGCATCATCAAGAAGAGAATCACACGAAATGATGCGGTCAGCATGAACCAAATGGCTTCATCGCTCGGAATCTCAAGACAATCGGTTCAATCCATTGTGAAAAAGGACTTGGGTCTGAACAGTTATCGGCTCCTTCGTGGCCAATACCTCACAGAACAGTCCAAGAAGAATCGGCTCGAAAAAGCGAAAAAGTTGCTCGACGCACTCAAGGTGCGCCGCCTCTCTGAAGTCATTTGGACTGATGAGAAAATTTTTACGGTTGAGCCGCTTCCGAACCGACAGAATGCTCGGCAATTGTTGTCAAAGGACGAAGCAAAGTCCCCAAAACGTCGTCTGGCCTACAAGAGACTTTTTCCAAAGTCAGTGATGGTGTGGGCTGGATTGACGTCGGAAGGTAAAGTCCCATTGGTTTTCATTGATAGAAATGTGAAAATCAACTCGGATGTGTACCAAAAGTTGGTGTTGATGGATGTTTTACGTCCGTGGGTCACTAGCCACTTTGGCCAGCAACCCTTCATTCTTCAACAAGATTGGGCCCCGTCCCATGGCTCGAAATCCACGAAAGCTGTTCTCGACGCTCATTTCCCTGGCTACTGGGGCAAGGACATGTGGCCCGCTTCCTCGCCCGATCTGAATCCACTCGACTTTTCCGTTTGGGGATATTTGGAGGAAAAGGTGATGGCTCGATCGCACCCAAATGTGGATTCACTGAAGGCCGCTTTGCTCAAAGCATGGGATGATCTTGACGATGACTACCTCCGGCGCACCGTCGCTTCTGTTCGAGCTCGTTTGAAGGCGTGCATCAAGGCCGAAGGCTCAAACTTCGAATATCTCCTCTGATATCTTTTCTATTACTATCATTTGTTGAAAAAATAAATCTGGTTCTTTTGTTGAAACTCCATTTTTGAAAATACAACAAAAAACAAGTGTCTCAATACTTTTCAGCCACCCTGTATGTGTTGTGAAATACGATGTACGCGTGTGCATACACTCTGGCGCGCAAAAGCACGAGAACGGTTGGCGCGCCGACCGATCGGTCAACTCGGTCGACTGTCGGTCGGCTCGGTCGGTGGTCGGTCGGCGGTCGGCGATTTTCGACCGACCGAAATGGAAGCCCTATTCCGAATGGGGTGCTCATCTATCACGTCAGCATCTTAAACGACATTTCTTCCTGCAGATTCTTCGATTCTGCTCGACAAGTTTCTTGAAATAGCTGCTTCGATTCTGGGCTCTGATCTCCGCGCATCCATTCTGCTTCTCCCATCAATTCCGTCACTTTCTGGTGGAACAAAATCTTGAATCCCACGTGTGTGAGCAAAATTTGAAGAATATGTAGTCAGTACCTTAATTATAATGAAAAAAATTGAGAGAGCGCTAGAAAAAAATAATAAATGGAGTGGGTGTCTCTTTTCTTCTTTGTATGTTAATCCATTTCCCCTGGAGGCAAGTTTCCCACAGGAAAAGGCAGCCAGACCGAAAATTTATCTACCATGAAACTTTTGGGATACATCTGCATATAGCTTGAAACCGATTTTCAAAAATTGTCAACATTTTATTGAAGGAAGCAACAAATATGGTTTGCCTTTTTGGGTTGGAATCAGTCTGTAGCACCACGACACTTTGAAATTTTGGTCCAGAAGTTGAACTTCCCAAATCAAGGAGTTCATATGTCCCACAGTCTTTTAGACTATGTTCGGCGGAGGAAGCGGTGTGTGCTTTCGGTACGGTGCTTTCGGTAAATTTACAGATAAATTTGCCGGTAACTTACCGGTAAATGATTACCGGTATATACCGGTATTACCGGTATTACCGGTTTACCGGTTTACCAGTATTACCGGTTTACCGGTATTTTAGAACCGCGACGTTTCAGAACTACGACATTTTAGAACTGCGACGGGCGCCAGGAGGTTTAGCCCCGAAGGGGCGTAAACCGACTGGTAAAGTATTAAAGGAAATCATTGATAACTGGACCATAATAAGAAAAACAATGTTTCAATCTCCAGAAAATCTCCTCCTTCAAAAAATCTATTTTCAGATAGAAGAACTGAAAATCGGAGAAATTATTGAAAAGATGGAAAAAGCGAAACAAAAGGAAAAGGAGGAAAGAGAAAACCTGCGAGCGACCAATGCGAAACAATTCGAAGGAAGTTCATGTGAAAATAAACAAAATGATTGGATTTCCGGAAGAAACGAATGAATTTCCCAGAAAAGATTTAAGAAGTTTCGGAGAGGATATGAAACAATTCTCCGATGTCACATTGAAAGTAAAAAAGCGGAAATTCTATATTTCGAAGTTGGTGAGTCATTTTTTCAGTTTTTGATTTTCATCTATTCAACTTTTTCAGTACCTCTCCTCTCATTCTCCATATTTTGCAACTTTATTTTTGGGAAGATTTCAAGAATCTGAAAAATAGAAATCGAATTGAAAGATGTCAATCCTCAAGACTTCCAATACTATCTTGAAGTTCTACATCTAGAAAATGGAATTGATGGTGGGTTACTGTACTTACCGTATATTTTGAAAAGAACAATTTCAGATGATACTGTCCAAGGAATTTTATCAGTGGCTGATATGTTCGACACTCCAATAATTGTCAAAAAATGCGAGGAATTTTTGCTTGAAAAATCAAAAAAGGGACTGAAAAGAAAGCTGGAGTTGGCTGGAAATTATAGAATGGAGGGACTGAAAGTGAGTTTTAGACGAATAATTTAAAAGTGAGCAGTTTATTGACTTTTTTCAGAAACAATGCCTGGATAAAATCAAATCAAAAGCGGATATTCGTTCAGTTATTCCAGCGGATCCCATGGAAATGGACAATGAAATTCTTGCAGAGCTACTCAAAAAAGCTCTTATTCTCAATTGAATTATTATTCTTTGTTTGCAATTCATTAATTCTTTTTAACAACAAAAATGTAATTTCTGTATTAATTCAAATTCTGATAATGCTGAAATGAATCTGATAATTTACAAAAATTTGTTTTGAATATTTAAAGAACAACAGAATGAATCGTTTTTTTATCATCTATTTATTTATTTATTTTATTTATTTATTTACGATTGCAAGAATCGTGGAAAAAAAGGAAAAAAAAACATTAAAATACATGATAATCAGATTCCAAATGGATAAATAATGAATTCTAGTGATAGGAAATGTAAAATAATAGAATGAACTAGAACTAGAGTGAACATTAAAAAGAAATAGGGAGAGGAGAATAAGACATGTCAAGCATAAATGAACATAGAATAATACATAGAATAGAGGACAGAGAGTAGGGCCAGAAAATTGAGCAATTGCTCAGCAGTAACTAAATCATTTTACTAAGCGCTCTATTGACGAAAAAGTGTTGCCTAATTTTTGTTTTAGCTCTTTTCCATTTGTACCTTGATTTTGATCTTGTTCGATTATTTGTGGACACTTGGAAAAAGTCAGTCTGGTTTAGACCCACTTTTCCTAACATTATTTTAGATATCAGTTTTTTATCAATTGTTTGTCGCCTGTGTTCCAGAGAGGATATTTAAAGAACAACAGAATGAATCTTTTTTTTTATCATCTATTTCATGTTATAACAACTAACACTTAGCAATAAGAAACTCGTCTTTTTCATCTCTTTCTATTGACTAATACACAAAAATATACTTCGAATTTTAGAATTAGCAATGAAAAGCGTAGAATATTATTCCTCATCTCTATTTCGTTCATTAAAACCAGTTTCTTCTTGCTAAGTGTCCATTTTCATTTTAAAAAGATTATGTATCTTTTATTTATACAAGTTTTTCTTTTTCCTTTAAATTAAAAAAAAAAGATCTAGATCATTTAACAAAACGTTGGCAGGTTGTGATGAACCATAATACTGAATATATTACTCACTGAAATATTTCATACGTTGAATAAATTTGTGTTGAAAAAATGTCAAAAAATGTGAAAAACTTTCGGAACAACCTGATATTTCATCATTCGCATACAGAAAAATGATTCGAGAGAAGATAGAATCAGGCATCAGAATGCGATTCAGCTACAATAAGAAGTAGAGAGAATAGTGGATCGGAGTTTGAAAGTGGAATGAAAAACTTTGAGTAGAATAAAAAATTACTAGGGGGAAATCAAAAAAAAGGAGGGGGAAATCGTCGGTGGTCGGATAGTTGGAAGAACATAAAAAGGTGTTGAGTGATGAGAGTGTAAACGAGATAATGTAAACGGGAGAGAGAGAGACATGATATATTGCATTTCTGGTAAGCAATAAAGATTCAGTCTGATTTTTGTTCGAGTTGCTTCATCAGAAAAGTAGCAAAGTACTCCTTGATTCCGTCCTTCGAGTTACGGTAAACTTCCATCGTCGCGTGACAGTGAACCAACTATCTCAATAGGGCATCTTCGTTGATTTCATGATCGGCAGTGATAACGTGCAAGTGTTCGAGTCTTTGCGCTGATCCAGTCATCCACAAGCGGAAGAATCGGTTGTATTTCTTGGGTCAGCCTGATTGAATGGAGCTTCAATTTATCGTGCCAGAAGGGGGAATGGAATTCTGTTCGCTGACTTCCAGAATTTTTGTCATGTGGAGCGGTAAACAAGGGCCTGAATACGTTGTCGTAGACACATTGGAATGCAACCAGTAACGCTGAAAATAGGTCACGTTTGAAACCATTGGAAAATATTAATCGTTACCGTGTGAGTTGTCGAGGTCCATTGCAAACACACCGTTTGTGGAGAGTGGGTTAAAAAACTACAGTAACCCAAATTTAAATGATTCTATAGAGAAGTAGAATAGATAGAATAATATCAGGAAAATCAGAAGGAATAAATATATTTCCGACGTTCATACAGAAGATTGTCTGGAGGAATATATTGGGAGGGGAGAAGGGGGAATGGAATGAATACTACGAGATCTGCTGGTATTTATAGGTTATAGGCGCATTCTAGGGGGCGGAGTCTATTGACTCATTGTCATTCCAGAATCTTTTTAAAAATTGGAAAAATCGAAAGTTTTCTAATTTCCCAACATTTTCGAACTCGTATTTCAGAGTAAATTCTCTTTCAGTCATCGAATCTGAAGAAGAAAAAAACAATTATCGCGAAAGGAATTATTATGTTTTTCGTTGAAGAGCGGAGAAAAAGGACGCGCGAGATTAAAGGCGCACTCACTTTCCAGGCGCCGCGGGTCTCGAAGCGATCATGCCCGAACGGGCATGAAACTCGAATTTCGAAATCATTCTACGTGTTTTAACGAGGTCGTGTGTGTTTTTTGTCGATTTTTTTTTGGATTTTTTGGAATTTTTCTGTTGAATTCGTGTAGACGGTCATTTTGACTGTTTTCAATTGTCGTATTTATCTTCGTAGCTAAAATATTGTTCAGGAATGACGGAATCTGTCGATAAAGATGCTCTGAAGCAATTCGGTGAAGAAATTTTGGGCAAGATGGCAGAGATGGTGAAGGAAATCGGAACTGAAAAGAAGAAGAAGGAGAGAGAGGCAGAGGATGAGAAGCCACCGAAAGTTTCGTCGAAAGGCATTCAGAAGAACTTGGATATCAATTTCAAAATCCGAAACATTTTGACGAAGGCGGCAGCCAACGGAGAGTTGGAGGAGGCAGTTAAGGAAGTTCAAGACTTACTGAAGGCAAGAAACGGAGAGCTGCTGCTTCTGGATTCCGATCCAAGTCTTCTGCAGACGAAGGATAAGTTAGACGCCTTGAAGGCCATCACTGGAGTCGATTCTGAAAGCTCGACGGCGCAATCTGACGTGACTTCAATCCTTCTCCTCTCTAATCTTGCCGGCAATAACGGAAACAGAAGCGGAGGATTCCACGGTGAAAGCAAAAGACGTAGGGCAGAGCCGTACGCGCAGAGACAACCGTGGTTTTGGCATGAGAGCACTTTCCGAGGCCAGGGAAGTGCTCGGCAATACGGAGGCCAGGGATTCGGTGGAGGCAGAGGTGGAAAAGGAGGAGTCAAGTGCTTCAAGTGCTCCCAGTATGGTCACTTTGCCACAGAATGTGAACAAAGAAGGTATGAGTTTTCCGGACAGACTGTCAGCAGCTATTGATTTTTGGGAGAAAATCTGTGACGTAGAATGGATACTAAGTGTGATTGAAGATGGTTTTAAGATTCAATTAAACTCAAATGTAGTGCTACCAGAGCCTCAGGGCTTGAGACCGTCAGTGATACGGCACAAAGAATTTTTGGTTGCAGAAATTGAGAGGCTGGAGGCAGAGGGCGTTTTGACGCGATCGGACCACCAACCACGATGTGTGTCTCCGCTGCATGTTGTAGAGCAAGGTAAGAAAAAGAGAATGATTCTCGATTTGAGTGAGTTGAACGAGAGCCTCGTTCCTCCTCGGTTTAAGCTAGAAAACCTCAAGACTGCCTGGCCATTTCTAGAAGACGCGCGCTATGCGGCCACATTTGATTTTAAATCAGGCTATCATCCTATTAAAATACACAAAGAATCTCAAGATCTTCTGAGCTTTACGCTGACAAATCCCCCTACTGCTCCTTATTTTTCGTTTAGAGGTTTGCCTTTCGGTTTGTCGACAGCTCCTTGGCTGTTTACTAAAATCTTCAAAGTTTTTGTTCTAAAATGGCGGGCAGAGGGGATAAAAATCTTTCTATATCTGGATGATGGATTAATTGTGGGCAAGACGGAGAGAGAGGTCGCGAGGGCAGTGAAAAAGGTGAGAGAGGATTTGAACAGTGCCGGAGTGTGCGTGGCAGAAGAGAAGTCGTTCTGGGTGCCAGACGCAAAGTTTACGTGGCTCGGCTATGAGTGCGACCTGGTCGCGAGAGAGGTTCGTGGAACCGAGAAGAGAATGGCCAAGTGGCAGGTTGCTCTTGAGGAGCTGAGGAGGAGCGTGGCTCCAACGGTCCTGGACCGTATGAAGTTTTTGGGATGCCTGGCATCATTTGAGCTTGTTGCAGGAGACGTTGGTGTTGGCAGAGCACGGTCGATCATGCAGACGGTTGAAGGAGTCAGAGGAAGAAGAGTGAGCCGGCAACAGTGAAGAAGAAGAAAACTCCAGATATCCCGAGTTCGGAACGTCTGGTGTCAACGTCTTCGACCACATCGAGAGGGCAGAGAGGATGGGATGTGCTTGGTGGGTGCCACCTCCAGTGCTGATACCGCACTTGTTGAAAATTGGTAGAAAAAGAAGGCTGAGGGGCGTTTTAGTAGCTCCATTGTGGCGGAGTCACGCGTCATATCAGGCCCTTGTTGATCATTCGGGAAGATTCATTAGAGCTATTAAATTATTTATGAGAAGAATGACAAAATTTTTATTCCGGGTGAAGGCTCCAAACATTGTGAAGCCACAAATTCTAAATACTGTAGATCTGAGTTCATTTTAGCGCTAGTTGACTTCTCTCGATAGGCCCCAGGCTTTGTACATTTTTCTACCTTATTATTACCACGTTAAACCTAAATTTAATAAACATGTGACATAAAATTCCTTTTTCGTAGTGATGAAACAGAAAAACATATTCTCTTGTAACGTAGAGGAAAGAGAATATTATGTTTTTCGTTGAAGAGCGGAGAAAAAGGACGCGCGAGATTAAAGGCGCACACTTTCCAGGCGCCGCGGGTCTCGAAGCGATCATGCCCGAACGGGCATGAAACTCGAATTTCGAAATCATTCTACGTGTTTTAACGAGTCACCCAGCACACCCACCCGGGGAAAAGAGAAAAAGAGAAAAAGAGAGAAATGAGAGGGAAAAGAGATTAACTATAATTTTCAGAAGGAGCCAAAAGACAGTTCGTCGAGGAACTCAAGCAGAAGGCAGGAGAAGGGTTTGAACACCACATCGAGAGACTCAAGATGATTCCGTTCGAAGCCAAAGCTACGCCCACGGCTGCCGCTTACAAGGCAGAGAACGATAAGAGAAATTCGTGGATTTCTCAGAAGAAGCTTCCAATGGACGAGTCGTCATTTCTGTTATACTTGTTGGACAGAGCTAAGCAAATCGGGAGCAGTGCTTTGACGAAGATCTCGGCTGCCTATCAAACAGCAAATGAAGGCATTTCAGCCATCGGAGCGTCTTTTGTGTCAGACATCATCAAGTCAAAAAGAAGAGAGGAAAGCCTGCTGAAGAAAGAAGTAGTGAAAGTGACTGTGGAGGATGTGAAGAAGATCACAATGTTGGCAATGAAAGAAGACAGTCCGGAGAGGGATCGAGATGCGTTGCTGGCAATTCTATCGTTCAATGTCATGCTAAGAGCATCGGAAGCAGCTGAGATCAAGTGGGCAGGAGTAACACAGAAGGACGGGATGATTGAGGTGCATGTAGAGAAGGCAAAGAATGACCAGTTGAGACTTGGAAGACGTTCGTTTTTCAACTACGAGCCAGACAGCGATGCGGACATCTTGATGTGCCGATGGAGACTTCGAACCAAAGGAAAGTGTCCATACGTATTTTCACACCTGGACGGTTCGAAGAAGCTCTCGAAACAAGCCATTTCGACGCTCTCGACGAAGATGCTGGCAGCGATCGGGAAGCCGGGAGCGACATCACTGCTTCAGAAGAGGAGGAGCCAACCACATGAGGAGAATCGGGCATTCAATGGAGGAAATTCAATGCAGAGGAAGATGGAGATCGGCGGCAGGACTTCAGCGGTATCTCACTGATGTTCCAACAGCTCAAGGATGTCTACAGTCCCAGGCAGAGTTCGACGACGAGGACGAAGATTAATAATCCTGTAATATTTATAGGTCTAAATTGTTTTACTAGCTGTTTGTTGTGTTATACTAACTCCTCATAGATTATCATGTTCTATCAAATCTCAATTTTCGTTTGATCTCCCAAACATTTTCTCCCGATCTCCTATACCGTTTTCTCCCCGAATTCAAATTATTGATTTTATTGTAATTCTCTTGATTCCTTCCCGAGTGTGTGTGAGTTGCCACACTCGGTTGTATGTGTCTGTATCCTTTACACGGCCTTATTATTACCACGTTAAACCTAAATTTAATAAACATGTGACATAAAATTCCTTTTTCGTAGTGATGAAACAGAAAAACATATTCTCTTGTAACGTAGAGGAAAGAGAATGCAATATATCATGTCTCTCTCTCTCCCGTTTACATTATCTCGTTTACACTCTCATCACTCAACACCTTTTTATGTTCTTCCAACTATCCGACCACCGACGATTTCCCCCTCCTTTTTTTTTTGATTTCCCCTAGTAATTTTTTATTCTACTCAAAGTTTTTCATTCCACTTTCAAACTCCGATCCACTATTCTCTCTACTTCTTATTGTAGCTGAATCGCATTCTGATGCCTGATTCTATCTTCTCTCGAATCATTTTTCTGTATGCGAATGATGAAATATCAGGTTGTTCCGAAAGTTTTTCACATTTTTTGACATTTTTTCAACACAAATTTATTCAACGTATGAAACATTTCAGTGAGTAATATATTCAGTATTATGGTTCATCACAACCTGCCAACGTTTTGCTAGATGATCTAGATCTTTTTTTTAATTTAAAGGAAAAAGAAAAACTTGTATAAATAAAAGATACATAATTTTTTTTAAATGAAAATGGACACTTAGCAAGAAGAAACTGGTTTTAATGAACGAAATAGAGATGAGGAATAATATTCTACGCTTTTCATTGCTAATTCTAAAATTCGAAGTATATTTTTGTGTATTAGTCATAGAAAGAGATGAAAAAGACGAGTTTCTTATTGCTAAGTGTTAGTTGTTATAACATGAAATAGATGATAAAAAAAAAGATTCATTCTGTTGTTCTTTAAATATTCAAAACAAATTTTTGTAAATTATCAGATTCATTTCAGCATTATCAGAATTTGAATTAATTCAGAAATTACATTTTTGTTGTTAAAAAGAATTAATGAATTGCGAACAAAGAACAATAATTCAATTGAAAACAAGTGATTTTTTGAGAAGCTCTGCAAGAATTTTTGGGTCCATTTCACTGGGATCCTCTGAAATAACTGAATTAATATCCGCTCTTGACTTGATCTGATTCAGACACATTTTCTGAAAAGATCAATTTTTTCAGATTAAAATTATCTTCTGAACACTCACTTTCAATTCTTCCAACCTGTAACTTCCAGCCATTTCCAACTTTTCTTTCAATCCCTTTTTTGATTCCTTGACCAAAAATTCTTCACATTTTTTGACAATTTTAGGAGTGTCGAACATATCAGCCACTGATAAAATTCCTTGGACAGTATCATCTGAAATTGCTCTTTTCAAAATATACGGTAAGTACAGTAACCCACCATCAATTCCATTTTCTAGATGTAGAACTTCAAGATAGTATTGGAAGTCTTGAGGATTGACATCTTTCAATTCGATTTCTGATTTTTCAGATTCTTGAAATCTTCCCAAAAATAAAGTTGCAAAATATGGAGAATGAGAGGAGAGGTACTGAAAAAGTTGAATAGATGAAAATCAAAAACTGAAAAAATGACTCACCAACTTCGAAATATAGAATTTCCGCTCTTTTACTTTCAATGTGACATCGGAGAATTGTTTCATATCCTCTCCGAAACTTCTTAAATCTTTTCTGGGAAATTCATTTGTTTCTTCCGGAAAGCCAACCATTTTATTTATTTTCACATGAAGTTCCACTTCCAATTTTCCATCATCCAGATATTCATCTTCCAAAGTTCTCCATTCAATGATTTTGTGCCAACCATGAATAATGAATTTGGTGGGTCTTTCAAACATATAACTCGAAGACATTGAATAACTTTTTTCCCGGTTTTTCGAAAATATTCTCAGGATAAAATTAGTGTGAATTTCTTGATTTCCCGTCACATTTGTGTATAAAAACATTCCGAGGTGTTCGTCCTCTTTTTTAATTCCTATTTCCCTGCAATTGAATTGACATACAAATATAATTTAAAAAATGAGCAATAAGACCTACCATCTGATACCAAAATTTTCTTTTTCTGGACTTTCGAGATATTGATTTTGCTCGCATTTCTCAACATCAGTGAATATATGTTTCAGAGTGAATTCTCTTTCAGTCATCTGAAAAAAATGTTTTCTGGAAAAGCTGAGAATTGAGAAAAAATATATATGAAAAAGAGCGAAACTGATAATATCAATGTTAAACGTAGAAAGTAGAAAGAGAACTTTGTAACCAAAAAGTGGGGGAAGGGAGTGATAAGAAATTCAGTGATTAGCAATTTTTGTGCACAACTTATTCAAAAAAAGTTCAAAATTAGATACTTTGAGACAGTTTTTGAGAATCACAGGTAAATTTTTAAATCAGAATCATGCATTTTGAAGTTTCAGTTTTCCGATTTTGATTTATGTAAGAAGAAAGATTGATATTTCAGAAAATAATAACTAAAAGTTTTTAGTGCCCAGTTTTCTGATAATTCTTGAATTGATAAAATGAAAATGAGGTCTTTTGAAATTGAAAAAAAAAGAAAATTGAAAAGAGAAGAGACAAACAATTTGAGAGTTAGCAAGGAAAACGGGAAATTTCAACACTGATAAGAATAAAATTGATTTGATTTCATGACGTATTTGAACGAAGAGAAGTGAGAATGGATTTTTTAAAATAATTGTTTAAAAACAGTTCTAGCATACCATATTACCCCAAGTTTTAAACTTTTGGGTGACTTTGGTTTGTAAGTAGCATATGATTGCAGTTTTGTTCATTTTTGAGCTTCATTTCTGATTTAGAAGGTTCCAAGCTTCAATACAAGCCTAAACATGCCTAGATTTGAGGAAACTTGAAAAAAAAATCAAGAATTTCGATATTTTTGTAACTTTTGAAAATTCCTAAATTTCTGAAAAATCTAAAAGTTCATCCCAATTATATTCATCAAATCATCAAAATTATTAAAATTACAAATTTATGGAGAGTGAGGAAATCATTAAAAAAATTGAAATTATAGAAAAAATATTATCGGAAGAAGATGCTCTTATAGCTCTGAATTTCCTGGAATTTCTGAATTTTTGAATTTCTGAATTTTTGAATTTCTGAATTTCTGAATTTTTGAATTTCTGAATTTCCGAATTTCTGAATTTCTGAATTTTTGAATTTCTAAATTTCTGAACTTCTGATTTCTGAATTTCTGAATTTATGAATTTCAGAATTTCTGAATTTCTGAATTTCTGAATTTTTGAATTTCTGAATTTCCGAATTTCTGAATTTCTGAATTTCTGAATTTCTGAACTTC